CCCGTAAGTTCAATTTCTCATTTGAAGGTTAGGGAACCTGAGATCCAGGTGGGGCGGGTGGCTTTCCAAGGACGCAGTACCTGTCTCTCGGGATTACGGCCCCTGGGGGTCTGGATGGCTGAGCCAGGATGCTGAGGCACTGGGCCCCCAGCAGACCCACACAGTCAGGGACCTCACTCCACTCCATTCACTGCTGTGCTGTGACCACAGCGAGGCGGACACATTAGCTAGAGGCCAACCCCTTCTGAGCAAACAGTCCAAGAACAGGAGGTGGGAACACGATGTTTGACTTGGGGGAAGTGGAGTTTGCTCTCCCTCTCTGCCATGAGAATTTCCCCTTCCTCTAAACCAGGGAAGACCCTCAGGATGGCTGTCACCCCTTCAGAGAGCCAGCGTCCCAGAACCACAGCACCTAATGGGCACCTGGAGCAGGAACTTCTTCCGCAACCTCCCAGACCAGCAGGTGCCAGCTTCGACTTCGGAGAAGCTGAGACCAGGAGCAAGTGTCTGAACCTTTCTGAGCTGCAGCTCTGTCATCTGTAAGCAGGGGCTGGTCCCACCAGTCTTCCAGGGCTACTGTGAGCATCCAGTGAGGTGACGGGTGCAACGCCCTCATACCTTGTGCTGTGGAGCAAGGTCATTCAGGACACCGGCTGGTGCTGCGAGGTGTAGTGTTTAGAAACCCTATTCCCCCTCGTGGCTTAGGTCTGCTTTTCTCATCTCCTGTGGTTGGCTGTTACATTGGGGGCCCCCAGGGAACCACACCTCCTGTGTCCATGATCTTCTGGGTCCTCTCCCACACCAAATGTGGACAGCCCTTGTGGCTTGCTTGGCCAACAGAATGTGCTGGAAGTGATGCTGTGCCAGTCCCAGGCCTAGACCTCAAGAGACCTGGCAGGCTCTGCTTTCCTGCCGTCCTGGAACCTGGCCACCATGCTGGAAGGAAGTCAGGCTATCCTGCCGGAGAGGAAGGCCTGAGCACAGCTGCCAGAGTGACCTCAGCCAACACCACATGAAGCAGAGCAGCCACCTCCTCAACCCACAGAATCATGAGAAGTAATAAATCACTGTCATTTTAAGTCACTACGTTTGGGGAGATGGTTACTCAATAATAGATAACTAACCCCCCTGCCCCCGCACGCCAGCCTTCCCCAGGTCTCTCCAGTGATGGGCTGGTAAGTGTTTAACAAGCAGCTCTCTGGGCGAGGGTGGGGCTGATCTGCACTGTTTTAACGTGTGCACAGTCAGCGGTGTGAGCAGGCCCCAGAACCCCACAGCTCTCCTCCCCAGCACGTGACATTCTGCAGAGATCTGAGGTGAATGACCTCCAGGCAGGTGACCTGTGGGACTAGAAGCATTTTTTTCCATAGGCACTAACCTTCAGGGCAGCAGGTGGGAGGAAAGAACTTGGAGTCACACACTCCATCTGCCTCCTCCACCTGCCACCCCCTGCCTCCTCCACCCGCCTCCTCTGCTCTTCCTTTGTGGTGTGGAAGCAGGGCCCTCAGCTCAAGGACTGGAGCTGCTCTTCTCCTGTCTGGGCGGGAGAAGACCAGGGAAGGCGGCAGCCGGGCTGTGTGTACCAGGCTAAGGCATTGCCCTTAAGGCCATGGGGCAAGGGCTGGTTGGAGGAGACAGGATCTGAGCACCACCCATTAGCTTAGCCCCTGGGCTAGATGGGGAGTCCTTCATCCGAGTCCTGAGCCACGGAGGAGCAAAGAGCACGCATTGTATGAAGCCCTGGGGACTAGAGAGCCCACTCTGCAGCTCCAGACCACCCCTCCACCACACACAGACAGGGCAGCCAAAAGGGGAGGGGCCAGAGCAGCGAGGGCAGAACCAGGGCAATGGTCTGGGTGAGGCTGATGATGCCTCAAAGCCATGGTCACCAAGGTTGAGACTCTGCTCCTTAGCCCCTGGGTGTGATGGTGAGTTTTACGTGTCAGCTTGGCCAGGCTCTCATCACCAGGTATTCAATCAACAATGATCCAAGAAGTTGCTGTGAAGGGACTTTGTCCACATGGTTAATGTCTGCAGTTAGGTGACACTAAGTAAAGGAGATCACCCTCAGTAATGTGGGTGGGTCTCATCCAACCAGTGAAAGGCCCTTAGAGCAGAGCTGAAATCTCCTTGAAGAAGAAACTCCGCCTGTGGCTGGAGCCGCAGTCCTGCCTGAGAGGGTCCCGCCTGCCACCTGCCCTGTGGACTTCTGACTCGCCTAACCAGCACCCCCAACTGTGCAAGTCAATTCCTTGTAATAAATAGCTCCCTAGATATTTATCTTTAAATATTATTTATATAACAAATATTATAATGTAATAAGTAAATGTTATTTATATATTTTAATATTCTTTCTACAATAGAGTTAATAACATTAACTGTATTATATATTAAGTATATTATATAAATATTATATATTAGATATTAATGTAATTAATATAGTATATAGATGTTATATAATATATTAAATACTAGATTATATAAATAGTGTGTAATAATATTAAGTATTAATATAATTAATATATTACATACATATTATGTATAAATCTCATACATATATATATCCATAAAGAGACTTATTGGCAGGATTGGACTCTGCAGTATACATACACATGCACACATCTATGCACATCTGTGGACACACACACAGAAATACTCATCCACACACACATCTAAGTACGGCTACATATACACACACACACACATACCCTACCGGTTCTCCCTGGTGGACCCTGCCTGAGACACTGGGGCGCTCAGAACCCTTGCATCATGAGTGTGGCCCTCAGTATTGCAAGACCCTAGTCCCAGCCCCTCAGCTGAGGCAGGGGCGCCTCTTCCCGCTCTGGGGGTGAAGCAGGCCTCTGAGGAGCACAGCGCCAGGGACTGTCCCCACGGGTACCCGATGGGACCTGTGGCCCCCGGGTTGTGCCGCAGACGGGGCTGTAGAACAGCTTTATCTCCACGAGCACTTTGTGACCCGAACCCTTTCTCCTCCCTTGGGGGAGGGCTTGGGCTTTTGGAATCCAGAGCTCGGGAAAGGCTCCGCGCTGCACCCGTGTGCGGCCCTACCGGGTCCTCCCCGCGGCCATCGGCCCAGAGCTGACTGGCCTCTCCCCTTGAACAGAGAGCAGGGAGGTTGAGAGGGCTGGAGGGAAGAGAGGGACATTGAGAGGGAAACCAGGTGCAAGGCTGGCCCTGCACTAGCTCGCTGGGTGTGGACGGGTCCAGCAGAGGAGCCAGCTCTCCGAGGGGCAGAGGGGCAGAGGACAGCACCCAGAGAGCGTCTGGGAGGACTTGAACCTGGAGGGAAAGACGGAGGGCTTGCAGAAGTGCTGCGGGAAAAGGGCTCTGCCAGGTGCTGAGGCAGGAGGATAGAAAAGCCGTGGAGATGCCCCCCGGGCTGGTCTGGGGGCAGAGGCACTGGGGTGAAGAGGAGGGAGGTGGGTCCCTCCTTCCAGCCTGACGTTTGGTTAACACTGAGAGTAGCTGCAGGGCGTGCATTAGCATTTCAAGAACCTCGTCAGTGACAAGACTTCTCTGAAGGACGGCCACTAAAGGCGTCTCAGAGGGTCAGCGCCCTAAAGCTTAGAAACTTAGGTTTGTGTCACTGACATCATGGGCTTGGTCGGTCTGGCTTCAGGTTCTCCAACCATAAAATGGAGGAGGTTTTATCTGCCCTGTGCACGTCCTCTCACGGGACAGCGGAAATGAGGCTGAAATGGGAGTCAGCCTCCTCTCACGCTGGTGGAAAGAATTGGAGGGGGGAGTGCATGTGCACATGTGTGTGCACACAGACACAATCAGTGTGTCAGCCTCCTCAGCGTGGGAACATACAGGAGGTGGCTTTGACATTGAGAATAGGATCCTGACAACTCAACCAAAAACAAATTGGCAAGATTCAAGCAGACGCCTCACAAAAGATGATATGCCAAGGCCAATAAACACACGAAGAGAAACTCAGGATCGCTAACATCAGGGAAACAAACATTAAACCACAGTTAACATGTGACTTCCGTCCCATTCGACAGCTACAGCTAACAAGTCTGACAATGTCACATGTTGGTGAACTGGCCGAGCAACTGAGGTTTTCATACGTTGTTGGGAGTGCAAAATGGTGGAAACACTGCGGAAAAACAGCTTGGCAGATTCTGATAAAGGTAAATGGACATTTGCCATATGGCCCAGCAATTCCATTCTTAGGTATTACCCAAGAAAAATGAGAGCATACATCCACATAAAGACTGGGATATGATCTTCCTAAAAGCTTTATTCCTAAACACCAAAACCTGGAAACAACCCAAATGTGAATGGATCAATAAAATGTGGGACATCCATACAATGGTACACCATTCAGCAAAAAACCAAAAAGGCCAAACTACTGATACATTCACCCACATGGTGAATATCAGAAATACTGTGCTCAGCGAAAGGAACCGCACATGAAAGAGTACATCTCATGTGGTTCCATGTACATGAACTCCCACAGTGGCAAAAGGCAGACCAGTGGTTGCCAGCGGCCCAGACAGGGAGGAATTCCCTGCAAAGGAGCACAGGAAAGCTTGGGAGTGATGAAGTGTCTTGTGTCTTGAATACGGTGATGGGTTCACGGTATTTACATTCATCACTATTCATGAGTTGTACGCTTTAAGTGGATGTAGCTCATCGAGCAGAAATTATATCTTAAAGCTGGTTTCTAAAAAAATTGCTGAAGAGCATGGTCCCAAGCCTCCACTCACTTCCCGAATGGGAATGCCAGCCTTTCCCACAGTGTGCTGGCGGCTTCCCAGGGTGAAGGAGGTCCAGCCTCCTAGTCACTTGTCAGCGGTCTCTCGGGAAGTTCCTCAGAGAAGGTTCCGGGCTCAACTCCCCTTGCCCTGAGCTGGACCACAGCGGTAGATACTTGGGACATTAAAGAGCTTTAATTCTGGGACACTTTTTCAGTTACAAGGGTCAGAAATCCTTCTCAACTAAAGGGGAAAAAAAAAAGAGACAGAATTTACCTGCTCACACAGTTAGGAAGACTGCTGACATCCAGGCTTCAGTGAGTCATTAGGGCACTAATTATACCTGCTCTGCTCCTCTGTTTTGGCCTCGGTCTCTCCTGGTGCTGAAAGGCTCCCAACACGGGGACAGACCCATGGCCCTGGCACATCCTCACAGCAGCCCTGGAAAGGAAGAGACTGTCATTCTGGCCAGCCCCAGTGCAAGTCCTGGAAGAAGCCCCATTGGTCTGCCCATGTCACATGCTCCCCTTTAACCAACTCCTGTGACCCGAAGAATGCAGAATTATGACTGGCTGATGTGGGCCCCTTGCTGGGAGAGGGGCTGGTTAGATCTTGGTCACATTTTTCTAATGAGGCCTTTTGGCACTCAGGTAAATTCCTGGAGAGGAATTGATGTGTGAGAGAAGAGTTTTGTGCAACTTCATTGCAGCCTCTAAACTCCCCAGGATACTTGGAGGGGAGGGAGGAGCGCTCCAGGCCCCCACCCAGCTATGCGTGTAGGTTTGTATATGAGATCTCCTTTCTAGGTTTTGAGAGATAGTGAAGAGTGCGAATACAAGGAAACAGAAGGTGGCCCGGAAGATGGCCTGATGATCTCCCACCCTGGTGTTATGCCCCGTATGAGCTGCTCCCCTTGAGTGTGGATGGCACCTGTGTCTTGCTTCTAGCCAGCGGGTTATACCAAAGGTGAGGCCCCTCCCATGACCACATTGTGTCATATAAGACTCTGCCTTGGCTGACTGGCGAGCTCATCTCTCCTGCTGGCATGGAGGAAATGGGCTGCCACGTTGTGCTGTCTAAGGAGAGGGCCTGTGGCAAGGAAACGTGGCCTCCAGCTGACAGCCAGTGAGCGGTCGGGCCCTTGGTCACGGAGCCCCATGGGAAGGAATTCTGCCAACAACCTGAGATCACAGAAGCAGATTCTTCCCCACTAGAGCCTCCACATAAGAGCACAGCCCAAATGCTGCCTGGTCTGCAGATTCATGAGACCCAGACCCAGCTAAGCCAAGTCCAGACTCCTCTTTTCATATCTCATGGAAACTGAGATAATAAATGTATGTTGGTTTAAGCCTCTAAGTTTGTGGTAATTTGTTACACAGCAGAGAAAGCTGACATCCCCATTTTTTTCTCTGCAGCAGGGAATGACTGCAGCTGCCTACACACTGGTCTCCAAGCCCTCAGCCTTACAGCTGCCAACCTGCTGTCATGGTCAGAGGCAATGTGACTGCCCGTTCCCCTAGATCCTATCAACGCTTATTCTGGATTCTCAGAATAAAATGCAAACCCTTTAGCATGGCCCGCAAGGCCCTTGATAATCTAGCCTTGCAAATAGGTCTTGGCCCCACCTCCCACTTATCTGTGTGTGGAAACAGAGACCGGTTGTCCACCCCCCTCATGCTCCAGGCTTTCATGATCCATGCATTTTCTTCCGGATCTCTGCACCACCCCAACCATATCAACACACACACACACACACACTACACTCTCTCTCTCTCTCTCTCTTTTTCTCTTCCTTTTTTCCTTTCTTCCTTGAAGCTCAGCCCAAACATGGCCAAGAGGCAGGGTTCTGACCCTCAGATGAAGTGCCTGTCTGCCCAGGGCCCCCTCCTCCCCATGCAGTCCCTCTGGCCCGGTGCCTAGTGCGAGGTCAACTGTCCTTCCCCAGACTGTGTCCTCTGGGAGGACAGCAAAAGCTCACTGTGTCCACAGTCCTGGGACCAGCTCTGTCAGCAGGGGTTTGTTGAAAGGAATTAATGAATAACATGTCCACTTTCTGGATGGGGATGGGGTCATTCAACCCTTTCATGTCCTCTAAATGAGGAGTGGGATCTACACTTGAATGGGACAATCTTGGGAACAAATTCTCCCCAACCCCACTCTCTGATCCAGACAGCCAGGGCATCTGGAGTCCAACAGTCATTTGCTGTAATCCAGAGAGGCTCGTTGGGCTATTTTATCTGCATCTCTGTCAGTCCACTGCCACCATACTAATACCCCACAAGGGGAAACTGAGGCTGAGACAGAAATGAGCCTGCCTGACCATGACCACTGCCCCCCTCCCCAGTGGCCGCTGAGGCCATCAGCCTAGGTGTGTCTCTCTGCAGGGGCAACAGGCTAGGCCCACCCCCAGGGTGGGAGCTTCCTGCGTGTGGGTACCAGACAAAGCCCTCCTCGGTGGGCCCTGTGGGACAAGGACCTTCCAGAACTCCTACCCAACTGCCTCCACCCAGAGGAATGCGCTGGGCCTGCGGACGCTCCCTTCCTTCTCCGCCCAGAGCTTTGTGAACAGAGCCAGGAAACGAGAGGGTTGGGAACTTGAATGGTCTCCAAGCTCTGCTCTGAAACGGCTGAGCAGCGAAGTGTGAGTGTGTGTCTGAAAATGCTCCAGGGCCTGGCTGCATGCCGGGGTGCTCTCCAAGAGCGCCCTGGGACCACACCAGCTGAGGCCGGCCTGCCAGCCTGGGGCTGCAAATTCAGCAGCATCGCTTCCTACACCAGAGTTCCGGAGGTGCCTCCCCGTGCCCCCGACCTCCAGCCCCTGCCCCCGTCAAGGTTTCTCGGGGTCCCACATCTGGGGTGATGGATGTGATCCCAGTGTGACGTTCCCAGCTGTCCCCTTCTCCCTCGGGCATAGAATAAAAAGCACCCCCATGCTGACATCACACACAAACTGCTTCTGACATGAAAGAAAGGTTGGGCCCAGCCAAGCCACAATCTACCTGCTCTGGGTGGGGATAACTTGATTGCCTCTCACGGTCATCTTTTGGGGATCATCACCTCTAATTCTTAAAACAGCTCAGCTAGGGACATATTTATTCCTCCCATTTTAGAGCTGTAGAGGCTGATCTCCCATGGAGATAAATGGTCCCTGCCTGGGTGATCACAAGGAGGTAACGAAGGAAAAGGTGCTTTGTGAATATGTGTGCAAGAGATTGTCACCACGGCCCATGTGTGCCAGCTCTTAACTCAGGTGGCCCAAGATCTAGGGTCAGGCCTTGACGGCAGACAAATCAGAGGTCAAAGGTTCCCACCCGGCGGGGAGTCAGGCCTCCCTGGGTCTGTAATCGATGCCTAGGCCAGGGGCCCCGCTACTGGGAAGCTGTCTTTCCACAGGGGTGAGGGGCCACTTTACCTAAGAGCCACCATAACTTCTCAAGCCTTCTCTTGAGCCCAAATGCTGGGGTATCCAGGTGCCTGGAGAGCTCGAGGCCTCAGGAAGCCCCCGTAAACAAGCCCAGGAGGAGGAAGCGAGTGGCCGGACGAGCTGCATGTAGTCCGGAAGTGTGAGTGTGAGGAGGCCCTGGAGGGAGGCTGGCATGATGAGTTAGGATTTCCTGCTGAGGCCTCACTTCCCTGAGGTTAACCCCTGCGTGGGCCTGTCAAAGCGGCTTCCCAGTGCCAGAGAGGATGGGAGACCTACGCTGCTGATGAATATGGACAAGAAAAGATAATGAGCATTCACTGAAGAAGAGGAATTAGGGTATCCCTCCCCGGGCCCTTGGCCAGCCCGTGAGGCTGCCATCTCAGTAGATCCTTGATGTGGAGCCATGACCTTCAGAATGATCCCCTGGCAGGCTCTGCGCTTACTGGGTTGGTGTACATGCTGGAATAGTGGGGTACCAAGCTAAGCCTGCATCATGAGGACTTGTACCTGGTTTTTGGGCAGAGAGCATGGCCAACCTAGGCAAGAGCTAAGGAAGTTCCTGGTGAGGAGATGGCTGCTCCGTGGGAGAATGGGCTGCCAAGTGCAGTAATGCAGTCTGGAGGCACCGTGGGGTCCTGGCAGGAACTGCCCAAGGCTGTGGAGACAGTGTGGTCCTGAGCTCCCAGAATCTCAAGACTGGGGCCCTGGCAGCCAGTGCACCCTGGCAGGAGTCACTCCACACCCGTGGTAGATCTCTGCCTTGCCTGGCTTGGGTGCATCTCAAGTTGGGGAGCTCACTCCTTGGAGGACAGTCTCTGTATATATTACAACCCTGATACATTTTCTACTCAGTGCTGGTACAGAGGGAAAAAAGTGTGGCCCGCCCCAGAGCCGGCTGCGGAGCTATTCCTGGAGGAGAATCACCTACATGTGGGCCACTAGTTGTAGAGACAGAGACCCCAGGGCCTGGATACCATGAGGTCAGAGTGGGACAGAGGTAACTTAGTCCCCACTCAGGGGCAGAGGGAGCCGGGGAGGAGGGAAGTGGGGGGCAATGCTCGGAGAACAATTCCTGGAGGACAGAAAACTCCAGCTTTTACGACAGGAATGTTCTGTTTCATGTTGCTATCACTTATACCGCCTCCTTCAGTGTGGCTTTCAGTCAAGGTGTCCACACACTTGGCCGTGAAGGAGTGGGGCTCGTCCAAGGGGAGTCCATGCTGAGGAGGTGAGGAGAGGAGGAGAAATCGGCACAAGGAGGTCTGGGAGCTGGCGGTGACGGGGGAATATGTCCTTCCCTAAGGGGAATCCCTGATGATACTGGGAAGGATGCAGATTTCCAGTTGGATGAGGGCAGCACATGAATGCTTGAAGCTATTTTATTTAAGTCATAAGGGACAGGAGGGCTCAATGGGCTGAGGGACTTGGGAACAGCCGTGGACATTACTGTGGCTGGAGAGGTTTGTTGCTTGGGCAAATCAGGCATGGGGTTTCCCTGAGAGTCAGGGTATCGGCTCTGCCTGGTGCAACGCGTCCCCATTCCTGGAAACCCAGCTCCTCAGCATGGCTTGACAGAACCTTCCCCGTAGCAAACCCTCCTCCAGGCTCCCCGGACTCCCTCTGACTCGGATGCAGCCACACTCACGGTCTTCCCAAACTCCACGCCTTCCCCCCAGCCCACTCGGTCTGCGTCACTGCTCCCTCATCCACGTGCGCACGGGTGCCCGCACACACATGCTACCTGGAAAACCTGCTCTGTCCACCCCTTACAGTGAGCTATTAAAATTTTTCTTTTTACTTTGTAATAATTTTAGATTCACTAGCAGTTGCAGGAGATTCAACCAAGGAGCTGCAGACAGTACAGAGAGTTCTGGCTTACCCTCCACCCAGCTTCCTCCAAGCTGAACCTCTTACATAACCACGGTCCTTCTGTCAAAACTTAGACATCAACATGGGGACAATACTACAGACGCAACTGCAGACTTTAATCAGATTTCACTGGTTTTCCCACAAATGCTCTTCCAGTACTTCCAGATCCCATCCCGGGTTCCACAGTGCATTTAGCCTTCATGCTCCTTTGTCTCCTCACATCTGTGATTCCCTGCTCTCTCCTCGATTGTCACGACCTTGACCCCTTTGAGAAGTCCTGGGGAGGCGTTTTGTAGAGTGTCCTTCGATTTGCATCTGTCCGACGCTGCTCATGGTTAGGCTGGGGTTATGGAATCAAGGAGAGAAGACACAGAGGGGAAGGGGCCCCTTCGCCTCACCCACCCCACCTCACTGTCCATACCCCTTACCACTGGCGAGTTAGCCCCTGCCACCTGATGGTGTCTGCAAGCTTTCTCCAGCATGAAGATACTCGTTTCCCTTCCCAGATTTTGTCAGAAGTGAGTCACCACGTCCAGTTCACACTTAGGGGGTGAAGACTTAGGCTCCACTCCCTGGAGCGGATATCTCTATATATTATTTGGAATTCCTCCTGGGGGAGAATTGTCTCTTCTCTCCCATTTGCTTATTTACAATGCATTCTAATTATCTCCTCTTTAAGACCCTCCTCGACTCTCCTTCATCCAGCTTAGCAGCTAAGTGGCTAAGACAGCTCCCCCAGCCCCGGTATTTCCACTAGCCAGCAGTGCTTTCCTCTCTTGTTGCATTTATCAAACTATACAAACTATATCATTATCATTACTTTCCTTGAGAGCCTCCCTATCACAGGAGAGCTTCTTTAGTCATCATTTATGAGTAGTGATGAGGCAGGCACCTTGGCCAGGTATTCGTATGAGCATCACTTCATTTAACTCCCATGACATTCCTAGAAGTAGTTCTTTTTACCATGTGAATTTTACAGAAAAGGAAACTGGGACTCAGAGAGGTTAAGCAACCTGTCCAAGGTCACACAGGTAGTGAGCAAAGTCCACAAGGGCAGGAACTGTGTCACAGCCCTCTCTCCCTGGTGGCTGGCAGAGCAGCAGGTTTCATCATGAACTTGCTTGCGTTGCAACAGAAACAGCAAAACCTGGGCTATTGTTGTCCATATCTGCCTCAGGGAGCTAAGCACAGGGGTCAACTCCTCCTGCCTTCCTGCCCCCAGTCTCTGCGAGGCTCCCACAGTGGCTGACACCAGCAGAGGCATCGTTCCTGGGGACGAGGCTCCCACCTCCCGGTGTCCCTGCGGAGGGAGAGAGGAGGGAGGGAGCAAGGCAGTGAAGGCGATTCCTAAATTGGGAGCCCTGAGCAGTTACATCTCTCAGAGACTACACTAGGGTGGCAGCCCACAGATGACCCAAGGGATCCAGCAGGGATCTGTGAGTCACACAGAGCCAGAAAGGTGTCTGGGAACGGGCTCTGGACAAATCAGAGCATAGGGCATTTTCTAAACTCCTCCTGGCTAAGTGGTTTATTCATTCTTTGGCCCTATCAACATGGGCCTGCTCTGAGGTCAGAGCTTGCAGTTCCAGGTAAAGACAGGTGGGAAGTGGTAAACAGAACAAATGTGACTGAAGAGAGGCCACGTGGGGACACTGAGGAGGGAGGGGCACTGATTGCACCTGGAGGGGGGTGCTTCATGGGGAAGACAAGAGGCTTCGAGGAAGGGGGGGACCCACAGACAGCAGGAGCCACTGCCCAGGAGTCCCCTGGGGCCCGGGAAGCAGCTGGACCAGGGAAGCTGGGTGACTCCCTCTGGTTCAGGGGGCTGGCCAGCTTGGGAGCACAGGGGCGATGCAGCCCACCGGAGGTGCAGCCTGGCGCTCCCCAGAGGGCAGGAGTGAGGAATAGGCACCCCGCAGGTCCCAGCTCAGGCCCTGCAGGGCCCATGCAAGTCCCCCCGTGAGATGCGTCTCCACTGGTCATTCTGCCAGCACTTTGAGCAGCCACGCTGCTGGCCCTGCTGACTGTTTGGGCTGGTGCCAGCACCACACTGGGTCACTGGGGAAGCCAGGCTGGCAGCATGTCCAGGGACAGGCAGTCAGCCAGGCAGACAGCCTGGGTGACCCCAGGGATCCTTGGAAGCCTGCCCGCCCAGGCCGGGAGGTACTTTGTGTTGTTGTCATGGCCCACACTGGCCTCCGTGGGCTTTCTCCTAGGGATGTTCTCAGGACGGTGGTATCCGTTCAGGGGGCCTAGGATGGTGGCAGGCACCAAGCTGGGAGTCAGCCTGGAGGCAAGGATTCTAGTTGTTCCCCTTCTCTGGGTCTGTTTCTCTTCCCACAAAATGACAGGTTGGGCTAGTGGAGTAGCTGTCAAAGCTTGGTCGCTGGACCAGTGGCGTCAACAACATGCAGGAACTTGTTAGAAATGCATCGGAGACCTACTGTGCCAGATGCTCTGGGGCAGACCCAGCAGACACGGACTCTAGGGGATTCCGCTCAAATGTGAGAACCCTAGATGGGCTGCTCTCACAGCTTCTTCCCAGGCTGGTTCCAACCTATCAGGCACCTGCTGCCTATGCACAAAGGGGTGAGGTGTGTCGTCAACACTGAAACATCACCTCCATTCCCTGGGTGGCTCCCGGCCACTCATCCCTTAACACCGGCTCGGAGGACATCTCCTGTGGAAACCGTCCCAGACGGCCCTCCCGCCAGTTCCACAGGCAGAGGTAGTCAGGTCCCCTCTGCTCCCCTTGCACCTGCACCTCCAGCATGGCCTTGGTGTACAGCACATCCCTTGTGGTCTTTCCTGCCGAGTGGTGGGACCGAAGGGCAGGGCTGGTTCTGATCCCTCCAAGGTCTCCTAGCAGCAAGCGCACAGCATGGCTCTCCTTCCCTGCTCCGCAGGCTGTCCTGCCTGGGCTCTCAAGATCCCACTAAGCACCCATCCCCTCAAGATAATCCTCCAGGGGTCCACTCTACCCACAGCCCCACCCTGGAGCTTTCCTTTGGCAAATGTTGCAGGTTGGAGGACACACAGCCCCTCTACCCCGGGCCTGGGTACCTGACCCATACACACAAGCTGGTTCTCCCTCTTGGGAGGTCTGACGACACAACACCCAGAGAGGTGGTGCTCTGGCCTGGGGACACACAGAGAGAAGGCAGAGCTCTGCAGTCACGAGGCAGCCGCAGCCACCAAGCAGAAGCTGTGTGTGTGTGTTTGTGTGTGTGTGTGTGTGTGTAGAGGGAGGAGCTGACCGTCCCCT